ATAAAAATACCGACAACAAAAAAGAAAATGAATAGAAATAACAATATTGATAATTACAATAATAATGATAATATTAATAATCATTAACTATAAGATAAATAGTTACAATAATAATAATAACAATAACACTAATAATAATAACAATAATAATAATAATGATAATAATAGTAATGATAATAATAATGATAATAGTAATAATAATAATAATAATAATAATAATCAGGTCATTACTACTACTACTACAATTATAATAATAATAATAATAAAGATTGTTATCATTACAATAGGAACAATAATTATAACATCAATGATGACAATAATAATAAACATATATTGTAAAAATAACAGAGTAATGATCATGAAAATACTAATTTATTCTAATGACATTGACAATAATAATAATGATAAAGATAATAATAATAATAATAATAATAATAATAATAATAATAATAATAATGATAATAACAATAATAATAATAATAATAATAATAATAATAATAATAATAATAATAATAATAATATCAATAATAATGAAGGTAAGAGTGAAAATAATAATAGTAATAACAGCAATAATGATGCAATAATAATTATAATAATGATAATAATAATAGTAATAAAAGTGGATAATGATAATGACAGCAATAATTCACAAAAATTATTAAAAATTGATATTACTATTAGCAGTAATAATGACCATATTAATGAAAAGAATAAATAATAACAATAACGATGATAAGTAATTACGATAATTATGATGATAATAATAATTACCATAAAAATAACAATATTGAAAAAAACAGTAATACTACTAATATTAATACAAATACTGGTACTACTACTACTACAATAATAATATCAATAATGATGATAATATCAATACTGATAATATTGATAATAATAATACCAATAATAATAATAATAATGAAAGTAATAAAAGAAACTAATATTAATAGTAATAAATATAATAACAATAATACCAATAATAATAATAACAATAATGATATTAATAATCACTATGATAATAATACTAAAAATAGTATCAATTATAATAATAACAGTAATAATAATAGCTATAGTTATTATCATTATTATGATTACTATTATTATTATTATATTATTATGAAAATATTGTTAATGATAAAAATTATATAAATAATGGACAGCAATTACATCACTATCAATAATAATGATATTAATAATATCAACAATAATAGAGGTAATAAGAATACTAAAACAACAACAATTATGATAATAATGACAATAACAAAGTTCACATGGATAATATTGATAATAATAACGATGATAATAATACAATAGTAATATCAGTTATAACAACAAGAACAACAGCAATAATAATACTAACAATAACAATAATAATATAATGATAATAATAAATTATAAATGATAATAATAACAACAATAATATTGATAATAATAACAACAACAATATTGATAATGATAACAAATAATGGTAATGATAAATGATGATAATAATTATCATTACAACAACGATAACTGTAATTAAAAAAAAATAATGATAGTAATAATGGTAACGATAATAATAACAATAACAGTAATAATAATAAGAATAAAAGAATTATTATTATTATTATTATTATCATTATTACTATCATTACTATTATCATTATTATTATTACTATTATTATCATTATTATTACCATATTTTTAAATTATTATTATCATCAAAATATTAATAAGAAGTATAATTATATTATGAAAATATTGTTAATGATAAAAATTATATAAATAATGGACAGCAATTACATCACTATCAATA